GGGACGGGGCGCAGGAGGAGCACCGGGGGACAAACGCGCTCCGCCCGGGCGGGCAGGTCCCCTCCGGGGCAGTCGGCCGCAGTGGGACCTTGGGGCTCCCCAGAAGATAACATTACTTAATTTTTTAAAGGGAACATTAACTACGTGTCGTTGTTAGCGCTCCCTCGGTCAGTAAGGCGTTCAGGACAGGGGCGCAGGCTTAGGTTTGGGAAACAGTCGAACCATGTCAATGAAATACTGTCTGGTGAATTGCCGCCTTGATAATACAGCCTTTTCCTTAATTAAAAAAAAAAAAAATCAGGACTCAATTTCTTAGGAGATGAGTAGCTAATAATACTAGTGTTTCTCCTCCACCAAATCTAAGGAATACAAAATTTCAGCCCCATTCCCCTCATTATCAGTAAATACCCACTGTAACATTAATGTCTTTCTATAACATCTTCTAGCATGTAAGAGGCACAATTTTTAGGTAGGATAAAAACGTTACTGTCCAGATCAAGACTGTGATTCTCACAAGCTGCAACACTAGGCGTAGGAGGACAGGGTGTAATAACATTTTGTACTGATGTCATGAGCATAGTTACGCTATATGCAGCCTTTTAGGGTACATCCATACAACTTGCTGAAACAATGCATTCTGTTTCTCCAAATGCTTCAAACTTACAGAAAACTAAACCAGTCTGCAAGAAATTAGGCAGTAGGAATCTGAAATGGCACTTGCTGACAGCCCACTGAATGATTAGCATCTCCAGTTTCTGCTCCTGTTTATTAATACTTAATCTCAAACAACTGACTGGAGGCCGTTGGCTACTGTACAACTGCTGGACTTCGAAGTTTTTCCTGGCTCCGTGCTGTTCAGCACCTGTCCATCTGCAAAGCTGCTTAGCTTTGACCGTGTATACTCTCAGCTCCTAATTAAGCCCAAGTGAGTCTGAAGAATCAGTTGCAGATCTAGATCCCAAATCAGCAAGCAAGCATCTGGCCCCTCACACCCAGCTGCAGGATGCATTCCTTCATGCATATTTGGGGGAGGGGGGATAATTGCAAAACTGAAGACCAGAACTAGGACTTCCCCTATAAGCACAGGAGTCACCTGCAAGACTAGAGAGTAATACCTAATTCCCTCCAAGAAGCAGCAGAAGGCAGCATCATCCAGCTTACACTACAGAGTAGCTATTACAGCCTTTCCCTGAAAGGTCTGCATTTCCCAAACACGTTTGAACCCTCAGGCTCAAGAAGACCTACCTAAATGAACCAAATTGTCCCACTTTCTTCATCAGTACTTAGTTAATAAATTGTTATATAAAAAATAGGCACCATTCAAGCTTTAAAAACAAATTTCCAGTTGTTTGAAAAAATGGCAATAGGTCTCTGTCCTTAAGAGATGACCCCCTACTTTGGAAGCCAAGGGCATGCACACAGGCTGGACGCTGGCAGGATTTGGGACTTAGAGCCAGTGATTGCATTTCCGACTGAAAACATGTATGGCCCTGATCAGCACCCCAGCTGTCTTGGATTCTGTGCTAAAGCACCTCTCTGCAGGCACTGCCAGGGAGCTGAAACTCAGCACGGAGGATGCCAGGATCAAGTGTCTAAAATGTAGGGGTTGCAATATACATCTCAAACCATCCAAATCCCTTCTGGGATCTAATTTCAATCTGCCATGACAGATGATAGCTACAGGGATTAAATAGTGGAAAGATAAAACAATTTTTTTTATTTGTTGTTATAAAGACTTGTATGTAATCTCATAAGAAATCATTTGCAACTTGTGTCCAAGATAAAGTTTAAATTCTTTTAGCATTAACAGTGCACCATGTCAGTATCCCCATAAAAGTATCCCCATAAAAGTATCCCCATAAAAGTATCCCCATAAAAGTATCCAGGTAACAAAACTTGATTTCTTGGAATTGTACAGCAGGGAGGGAATTAAAACCCACCCCAAAGTTTTGGGTATTTGAAAAATCCCACAGAGAGATCAAGCACAAAGCAAATACCGCAAGCTTCTTTTCTTAGTAGTGAACATAATAAAAACCAGTACTTTTAAAGTTAACATTAATTTAAACACCTTTAACTCCTCGTTTACAGGTCTGTTGCATGCACCAATTCCTTAATAAACTCATACAGTACGAATGCAACTTGCATACAAATAGCTAGGTCCTTTGATTTCTATACACGTTTGACACTAACAATCTGCCTAATCATAGAAAACAACATATTGGTTAATTCTACATGGACTGGGGTCATGCCCTTTCACCACTGCCTGCTCCACTCTCAGCAGCTCAGAGAATGGCACATATCTTTTTGCCTAGTTCCAGACAAGGTAACTGGTGCTAATAATGGAGAAACTTCAACCTTTAGTTGTTAAAAACAATAATAATCATGAAAAAAACCCAACAGAAAAATCTTTCTAGGCATGTATTTCAATAGATAATGGAAATGGAATAAAATAGAGCACGGTACAATCATGCTAGGTGACATTTAGGCTTCAATCAAAAAATATTTTTTTAAAACTTATTTGAGGACTAAGATTTTGGGTATTGAATTACATTACTTTTCCCCCCCCTGTAAACAGCCTAGGTTACTAATATCAAAATACATCCATAGATACATTGAACAGTAAGTATATTAGGCTACTTTGGTGAACAAATCAGTAAGATGTTTTGATCATTACACTACAAGACAGTTCGGATAATCCTCAAATTAGTACATTTCTGACATTTAAAACAATGTTCAAGTGAGTAGAACATGAAATGAATTAAGTTATCTTAGTAAAAGACAGTATATCCAAAAATCTATGATCTTCAAATGAAACTCCACACCTTGGCAGATTAACATACATTCCTTTCTTTAAAGTAATATAGTTTGTAAACACATGTAACAATGTTTATGTATTAATTATATCGATAATAAGCTTTAGATTCTATAAACAGTACTTACTTAAGATTCATTCTTTTAATAAAATGCAGCTGACAGTCTCAATAACTTCAACATTTAAGGTGAAGTAATCTTTTCCCCTCAAAGTACTCAGTACTGGTCATATAAATTTTAGTTTTCCCAATGAATATCTTTATTTTTATGCATCTTCTAGACAGAGATCATCTATCCATTCATTTCTTATAGGATAAACATGAACAAGTTGTTGAAAAAATACCATTTCTTCTTTTTTTGTTTTTTAATCAGAGATCCACACTGCTTCCTCCACCCCCCAAATCCTGAATCACAAATAACTTAGGGTAAAAATACAAACTCTGTTTGGGAAGAAAACATAGAAAATATACACCGTGTAGTGTGTGCACCTAAATATCTTGATTGTCAAGTAGTGCAAGTTTCCACTTTGACATATACACTTTTTTTGTTTTGAGAGACAAGAGTTTGTTTCACTGATCTTTGCTGATCCCATTTTTGGCCATCTTTGGTAGTCTTTGTCCCTTCGTGTAAGCGTGGTACCAGAAGTGGAGAAACAAGACTAAAAACATAGAACCATATAGCCAAATAATAAACATGAAAATTGGATACTGGTACGGACAATCATCCATGATGTAGATTTGTCCTATATGGCCTGTAATCATAATAAACTGGACCTGGAGGAAGAAGGTGAAGAAAAGAAACACTTTTTAAATAAATGACAAACTTACTACAGAAGTTTAAGAAGATTCAGAAGAACTTGCATACAGAAAAACAGAGAGTGTGTTTGGGGGGAGGCTTTTTAAAATGACAGAGATGCACCTTTACAGCCTCTCTCCTAAAACATTACTCCACTGAAAAACATTTTCACAGAGTAAAGAAAGAGAAGTCCTGGGGCAAACTGAATTACAAGCAGCACTGAGAAACCCATACTAGAAGAATGGGAGTCTGCCCCAGCCAGTTCAGAGAAGAACGAACAGTGTTTGACCTGTGACAAATGGGAAGCTCCTTTAGAAAAATTAGCCAGAAAAGACAAAAAGGTGACCATTATAGGATTGGTGAACCTGAATTCCCACCTTCCTCGCACACTAGCATGTGACACAAAGGTCTGCAGGGCCCAAAAAACAATTTAATGGAGGACTTAAAAAAAAAAATTTCCACGTGAACTCCAAGTTAATAATCCACTGGTAGTGCCGCCAAGACAAAAAGACTTTAAGTTGTTAATGTTGAAGATAAATTGTTCAGAGTTACACGTGGTTACAGGAACTATTCTACTAACACCAGACCTGGTGCAAGCAGACAGCCAGGGCTGCTTCTCCCTGCTCCTTTCCCTCCATCAGCATCCTTGCTCAGGCCAAACTAACTGTTTAGCCAGAAGCTGAATTTGGAAAATTCGTCTATTAAGAAAGCAAGGCATGAAAAAGCACTCAAAGCAGAAAGCTTTTCAAAGTGATCTAATGATGATAAAACACTTCATGTAATTACTGCAAGAGTGTTTTTCTAAGGTAGAGAGAGGTAAATTCTCTAAACGCAAACATTTTCTATGAAAGAATGGACATGAAATGCTAAAGTAATACTTCTTTTTCCTTTTCTCACTGCTAGTCATATGTGTATTCTGTACATTAATTATGTTTTCTTGGTGTAAAATTACATTCTAATATTTTTTATACAGGCAATGAGTTTTGTAAATATAATTACCAAGTACTGCATAATTGAAAAGCTCAAGTGTCTAAATTTGTGATTATAGCAAACGTATATAACTGAGCGGAGCTCACAACTTCTGTTTTACTCAATTAAAACACGAGTAAACCTTTTATCAACTGTGAGCTACATTCATGAACATAACTAAAAATACAAATGCATTGCATTGCCTGTGTTAGCCACAATCAGCTTTCTGAGATGTGTTTATGCCAAACAAAGTTACTCACAAGTTGTATAGTTGTCATGTATTTTTTCCACCACAAATATTTATGATAGGCTGGTCCCAAAGAACAGATTCCATAATAAGTGTACATGACAACATGGACAATACAGTTCAGCAAAGCATGAAATGTTCCTAAACCACCTGTAGAAAAACAAAACGTAGTATTATTGCATCAGGTATTTAAAAAGTCACCTTAGGTCCTAGCAGTTTGTTTTGAGCTGGACTAGAAAAAACACATACCACGAAAGCTACAGACTTTGATTAACCCTCAAGGTATTTAACCTGAATTGGGTTGACACCAGTTCTGAGAGATCACATTAGTTTCCTTTCTCAGAAAAGGCTTATCTAAACATTCACAAAACAGCAATAAAACCTAGCTGATCTAATTATCTGTAGAAGGTTTTAGTGGAATTTTTTGGTTTTTAGGTTCATTTCTTTATTATTTTTTAAAAACATATATAGGATGCAGACACAGAGAATTTAGTCGGAACAGTGTTCCTCCTGTTTTACACCTCTTTTCTAGACATCATGATGAACCTTGCAAAGCTCTGGAGGATGAATAATAATTCTCTCCCCAACATAGATTTCCAGATTCCCAGGGAAAGAATCACAATTTCAGACAGTATGTTTTTGGAATCATGACCTAAGTGAGGGTCTCAAAATCCATGGTCCACTTCAAAAAAACCATACTTACAGTGAAAAGGAAATTTAAGGCCAAGTAGCCCCATTTGGGGCAAGCTCATGACTGAAACTGGTAAGATACGAACATTTCACAAAGCAAGTAAGGAAATACTTCCTTTTCCACTGGATTAACTATGGAGTTAGATCATCCTGCTCAAAGTAATTTTATTTTAATGAACACAAGAAATTATAGGTAAAAATGATCCAAGAAGTGGCAGACAGCAAAGTATTTAACAGAAACATGAACACAGAAATACTGAGCATCAGGAAGAAAACAAGATGACATAAAACCAGACATTTAGTGAGAAAAAAGCCAGTTTTCCATTAAAAATCATTCAAGTTAAAAATAAAACTTATTTTGTGATTTTAGTAGCTCACACTAATCTTCCAGCTTGACAGATCATAACTCCTCCAGCTGTGATTGCACACTTTCTTTGAAATTTAGCTCTATGTATTTTTAAAAATAATTTGAGTGTTCTTACGGTTCAAATGTACATACTTTTTTTGGCTTGCACAGTGAATATTCAAAAGAAAAAATAAATAGTTAAAGCAGAGGAAAAAAAAAGAAAAAACAACCTAATCAACAGTACAAAAATATGCTCCAAAAAGCAACACCGTACATAAGCACCATTTTACAATTTCCTGTTAATATCAGATCAGAGAAAAAACAGCACCTCCCTCCATTCAAACCCATTGGTTTGTTTGTTTTTTTTTTTCACAAAACAGGTTGAAAACTTGATCAATGCCACTATTTAGAAGGACAAACCGTGATGAAATTGAATACAAGATAATCATCAGCAGGACTGAAATTCTTGGAAAAAAGTTTAAATTATCAAACAGAACAATATTTGGAAAGATTAGTATAAAGATAAGCAATAGAGTTGTAGGAATAAACACAGCTCTGCATGAATATGAGGGACTATTATTAGCAGAGGACAAAACAGTTCTTGCACACTTTGCTGAAAGTGTTTGTCAAATTATCACATGGGAAATTTGAATCTGATGCAAAATCAGAAGCCTGTAGCTGGTATATTAAACACACTGAACTGTATGCTGAGAAAACTATTCACAATTTCATCATTAACTTAAAATACTAGTTACTCAGCAACATTTCATAAAGATATGATCAAGACACCAACTTCCTAATAACAGAAACTCAACAAATACAGCAGAAGTATGTACTAGGAAAATCTCCACACTGGACATGTTCAAAAGATCCCATCTACAAATCTTCTGTACTGTTTCCAGGTCTAACTTTTGTATTCATAAAACAGACACTAACAGATCTGATTTAATAAAGCAGTGGTTCTCTTCATCAATTCGTCACCAATTTTCTGGGAGAAAAAAACATGCCAGACAGAGAACATGAGTGAAGAAACATGTACAAAACAAACCTATTTCTTGGTAGAAACTCCTAAGAAACCCCCACACCCTCCTAGAAATGGACTACTAAATGACTGTGCGTTTCTCCACTCTGTGCTTATCAGGCTATTCTCATGGCAAGCTATATTTATTAGCGGTGCAATATGACATAGGAAAATGCATGCACAGACACACAGACCAGGAAAGGAGAAAAGTGAAGGTAAGCTAGAAGTGGACAAAGACTTTCAATTCAGTACAATTCAAGTAAGTTCCTATAATAAGTAAGGTCCAGAAAATATTTCTGTAGTTTTGTGAAAGCCAAAGTATTAGATGCAAATAAACCCCAATTATGCTACCTGAAGCCAGTAAAAATAACTGCAACAAAGCCTGAATAATTTTTTAAACATGCAAAAAATTGAGAACACAGTCCTCCCCTCCAACTCAGTTTTTACATTTCAGGGGAACAAATGGCTTTGAAGTAGTTTCAACAGAGTTATCTGCCTCATATGTCTCCCCTAGCACTTCTGATTTTGCAGTCACATCTCTTTTTCAGGTAATAATGCTCTTTGCTTATATACAGCTCTCTCCTCCGCATCTTTTTTCCCCCTACAAGAAACCAACACTACACAAAATGCTGTCAAATAGGAAAAAAGAGTACTCCCCACCCATTTAAATAATTATGGTGATCTCAGATGTTCAATGAAATACTGCAGATATCTAAATTTAAAAACATTGATGTTTGCAAGATTTTTAATTCTGTTCTTTAAATATTTTTGTCTAGCATATTTAACTTTTACTACCAGAATATATGTACAATTTAAACTCTCTCTCCACTACCTGCAGCAAATTTGACTCCAAACCACCAGGTCCATGGCATGATGGAATGATGAAAGACATGCAGAAATGTAACTTGGTTGTTTTTCTTACGCAGCACAAAAAATATCTGAAACAGATTTTTAATGAACAGAATGTTACAGGAGATAATCAAGCCCAACATGCTTACAGAAAACTGTATGCATCAGTGCTGGCTGCTTGCTACTATACATTTAAAAGTTCTTCACAGTTGCAGTCTTGGGCGAAGAAGGGAAACTGAGGCTCTGGATATGTGGACTAGTTTAAAAAAAAAAAAAAATTAAACGAGTACGTAAAATCCACCTGTGGACTCCCAAAAGCCAGGGCAAGCTCTGAAAGCAAATGTCCAAGGTTGAGCCGCCACCTACGTGTGCAACAAACAGCATGAGATGGACTTGCTTCAACTGAGAAGTATCTAGAAGCATCAGATTTTAAGTCCCCTGAACTACTAAGTCAAGGTCACTTGAGAAAATTAACGAAAGGACTAGCAACAGATAGAGACAGTAGAAAATATTGTTAGAGAAATAACACTTTATTGTGAATACTGCTTTATTATGAATACAAGCTACCCTTGGAAAAAGGCAAAATTGGACAGAATACATGCAGGTATTCTTAATCGATATTGGCGGCCACATTTTAAAGGACAGACATCAAGGGAAGTGTTAAGGGAAGACAGAGCAAGGAAACTGTGTAAGCAAAAGTGAGGTCATGCAAAGGGTAGTGTCAGATGACATGCAAAGGAACACAGAAGAAAAGCAGCCCAGTGTGCCAGGGAAAACATTTGGAAATAGCTGACTTAAATACAGCTAGAAAATTACTTCTGCAATAAAACCAAAAAGCTGCTGAGAAACAGGTATCTGACTGGCTGGGGTCAAACAAAACAAGTTTTTAAAAAAAGAAGTTTTCAGGCCCAGGACTAATTAAAAAGGAGCAGTCTAACCAGTGGGTAGTAAAGGTAAATAGAGGACTAAACTTGTCAGGCTTTTCCAGTTTTAGCATTCTTGGCCCTTCCATTACCATTTCATTTGGCTCAGTCAGTAAGATCTTCCAGTGTTGAATCATGAGTATTTGCAGATGAAAGTTAGATAGCTAACTTTGCTCGCAGGGTGTTGAACATCCTAACTGCTCATGAGTCAGCTCCTGAATCACCACTATCATGCCCCACACAATAGGGCAAATGAAATAGCAGTGATTCCAACACTCAGAAGCTGGTTTGAGAAGAGCTAAACCAACCCCACTAAGTGCTGGTCTCTGGAAAAGGGGAAGGCAGATGGCTGCTGGTGGTGAGCGAGATCTGCATTCTGCTTCAATGCATTGCTGCTCAGACTTTTTTTGAAACAGGTTAGAGTGCCAGCCTGATATCAAACACAGCTATAGTCATGACCCCCAAGGCATACACAGGAATTTAGAGCAGGTAGGTATGGCAATTTATGCTGTATTCAGAGCTGGTGATGCAAATATTCTGAATGTGGAAGATAAAATCTGAAGATGATGTGAAAAAAAAATTCAGCATGATCAACACTGGTATTATCTGCAGTGTTGAGATAAGCATTGCCATAGCACAACAGGTTAGGGTATTCAGCTGTTAAACAGACAAGTTATTAGGGCTTCCTAAATTTTTAAAGGTGTGTTCCCTCATTAATATTTTTCCTGATAATCAAGGAATGATAGTGTAATGGGACAATAAGATGAGAAGACATAATAAGAGTAAACACCTTGATGGTATTCCAATAATTGAAGATTGGAGGGCTAAATAAAAAGCAATTTATGCCCCCAGCCCCCAACAGCACCGGTTCTTCTACTGTGAAAAGGAACATCACTACTTCTTTTATTAGGCCACAAATACTTACAGTGTCTAATAATTCAATGAACTTGGAAAAGTAGTAAAGCCAACAAGTTCGTACCATCTGCAAGAGTAAAAACCAGAAATTGTCAAATCATAATAGTAATAAATAAAACTAAGCAGCTGCAGGCAAAATAAATAACTATACAAAGGAAAGTACTGGGGCAAGTAAGTGGTGTCACAAGGTTGACAGAAATAATTAGATGTATGGTTTGTTTGGTTTTTCTTTAAAAACACAAAACATTTTTCAGTCCTGAAGGAAATTTTAAAACCAAGAAGAACAAATATGTTGCCTCTTTCTTTCTCCCAAACAATCAACCCCTCCAGTTAACTCACATGCTCTACATTATGCAAGAGGGCATTTCCATTTAGCCCATTCCACTCTCCAGCGGTGCATTTAGTTGTTCAAAGAGCATTTCTAAAAATAAAGTCACTGTAGCGTAATAATTCAGCTTTGTGTTTGGCAACTTACTCTTAGAGCTGTAGGTGACCTCGAGTAGTCAACGATATCGCACCGGAATGAGTACCCTGTGGCCCAACCCGACATAAGAAACTGGAGCAAAGAAAAGGGAAAGGGCAAAGATTTACTTTGTGTCTTTTGAAAAATTCATTAATTTCAGATTACTTTTGCAATAACTAAGCAGGAGGGGAAAACAATATTAAAAACTTGTTGAATCAGTGGCCTTGTCAATCATCTACATCTGTGTGGGCTCGCTACCATAAAATCCTTTGCTGTTGCAGATTAATTAATTTCCAATTCCAGGACCACACCTATGGACAAGAACTTTCTTCCTACACCCACTACCTCAGCATTAGTAACCGAAGAGGAGAAACAGCTGCATCTCAAAACCAATGGTAAAAAAGCAATTTGTTGTGTAAATGAGACGACAAAAATAAATCAAACACTTCGAAATTTTCTGAAAATTACTTTCACAGCCAACCATCTTAACACTGAAAAGAAACCAGCACAGCATCTTAAGACTGAAAGAAAACCCACACAACAGAAAATATGGCTTAATATCATTAAAGACAAGGAACGAATCAGTACACACTATACTTTTAGTATCAGTTTCTAAAATTTTGCTTAGTTAAACTGCATGATTCAATTAGTCTTTAACTGATACAAGCAATGAGAAGCTAGGGTTTTACAATTGAGAGCACACGCATGACCAAAGAACTGTATGTAACAAATATAATTTAATCTTTTCTCTTGGAATATATTAAAGCTCAGACAAGAGCAACATTGTTAATATTACGCTTCACTCGTTCCACTGACAGCCACTAGGATTACTGTATCTTACATCTGTTTATAAAGTGCTCCTCATCCATTGATCATTTTCATCCACTCATGCATGATATCCTATGGTTCAGCTCTCTTAACAGATGGAGGGATTTAGTCCATTTAACTTCCTAAAAGAATCAGTTGCTTAAATAAAACAAGATTTGAAACACCACCAAGACAGCACAATACTAAAGCACCCACTAAATGGCTTGGATCCAAAGATGGCAAGAATCAGCTTTTTGCTGACCCCCAGAGAATAGCAGAAATTCCCTCTGTTACACTCTATCCATGCATTCTTTCATGAAATTGTAACATGGAAGTCTCGACAGCAGGTTAATTGAACACTGTGCTAGTGTCGGACATTAACATAAGTTTGGTTTTTTTTTTTTTTCTCTGAGGGTTAAAACCAAAACCAAACTTGTCACCAAATCACAAAAAGAAGCCTGGCAATTTTTCAAAAGAGTCTCAATAGCAAATGCGTGTGTCTTGCCCACTGCTTTCCACACAACAGTCATGACACAAAGTAGCTGCTGCTGCACTGCCTTTAGAGTGCTGTTAGAAGAAACGTTGAGCAGTTCACTGTAACTCATGATGAAATTTATGCAATTGAGCTCACAGAAAGCTATCCCGCCAATTTGGCACAACAACTTGACAACTTTTCATTACCAGTTTGTCAACCCTGAAATAGCCAGATTTAACACAAAGAAGGTCAGTACTAGCATAGTGATGCTTCACCAAGCAAATGTGTAAGGCTATCATTCACATAATACTATTGTTAAATAGCTACACTTTAAAAAACAGCAAAAAAAACCAACCAACCAAAAAAACCCAATCCCAACTAACCAAAATAAAAAAAACCACCAACCAACCAAAAAAAAAAACCAAACCAGACATTACCTATCTTAAGGTTTAAGGTTCTAAATTAAAGTTTCTACATAGTCTATACCACTCATGGTTATGGATTTTTAGGTCATTCAACCTATAACGCTATACAACTCATCAGGCTTTCCAGTCTTTAAGTCTAACATTTGCTTCAATTATGTACTACAGCAAAATCTCAACATTCCTTTTGAGAGAAAGAGCATTTGCTATTTCAGGGGTGGGGGAGGAAAATCAATGATAAAGACTTTCATGCTTTGGGTTTTGGGGGGTTTGGGGGTTTAGTTTGTTTGTTTGTTTGTTTTTTAAAGTATGAAGATCCCCAACTTAGATTTTGTTAACTTCTGTTGTTTAAAAGGCAGATCAAACTGAAGATTATTCCATAGTAAACATACTCTATACAGTGTTTGAAACATCAGCGTTGAGTACCACGTAGCAGGACAGAAACAATTACAACGGACTAAGAAAAACATGTAGTCTGCTTTACCTGCTACAGCCCAGGGAAATTAAATAAGTTATGAGAATGTTTAATTTTGTAAATTATATATAATGATACATAAAATATTTTACTTTCTTTCTTTCTAGGTATGACTTATTCCCTTTTTTCAAGTATCAGTTTGATTAGTTTAGCATACTGCTTGGAGGAATAAAATTACAACAATCAGAATCATAGTTTTTTTGAGAATTGCAGAGGAGAGGGTTACCACACTAAAATTATAAAGCGCCATTATCTGCCTAAGTTCAAAAGGTTTTTTATTTTCCATGAGTTTGGGTCCCAAGGAAGTGACAAAATAAATGTAGGTTCCAATGATAAACGTTGTTGGAAAAGGTGAAGACATGAGTGGCCAGCCTTCCAGTCTTGGATCTAGAGGAGGGGAGGGGAATAAAAAAGAAAAAAAGAAATCAGACCTTTCCAGTACTTACTGAATCCTGAAGCAGCTACAGAAAGGTACTTAATTCTTAATGGTTTAGGTTTTGCTGTCACTGATCATGTTTCAGCGCCCATTCACCTCAAATCCATACCAACTAGATAACAAGATTCAGCACCTGTAGGATTCAACATTTTTCTGCATCAATTTTTCACATGTAATGAAGAGGAGACACAGAATCATGAGTGATGGGATTTTCAGTCTAGAGCTCTCCTTCATGAAAAGTCTGCGTTTTCACACATGAACAGGGCTCAGAGAGCATCACAGGAAGGCACTGCACAAGCAGATCACTGAGGCTGCATGTCCCCACGAGACTTCATTCTTCTGGAAGACCATGAACCTTATTTCACAAGTTCAAGTTGCAGACAGGGAGCAGCCCCACTTTTCAAGACTCTCGAGCTTTATAAGCAGTACAACATCAGACATAGTAAGTGTGGGGATTTTAAAGTCAGAAGACCTTCTGTCCCATCAGTTGGTATTCATAGCCTAGAACTTGAAGCTTGTGCCTATTCAGTCCAGACACATCACCACTTTCACAGCACCACAAAACACACACTTTTATATTACAAGGCTCCGAACGGGAAAAGTGTTGCAAGTTTCTCTCCAGTTATCCCAGACAGAAGTATTGCAGAGAGTCCTTCTCCTACGCATGCCCCGCACCCTCTCTCTGCAGCTGTGGCTGGCAGGTGCTCCCTCTGACCTTCACCATGATTCCACTGCACCCTTTTCTGGTTCATCACCGAGTCCCAGCTCACCAAAGACTTCCACATTTCTCCATAAGCAGGAGAACTGATATGAACTTCATGGGGTTTTTTTAACATATATTTTTTAAATTTTTATAAACTGACTTTTGGAATATTTGTTTCTGAATGACCCCAAACTTAACTATTGACCGAGTAAACAGCTGCTTTCATGGTTTGCTGCTGTATTTTGGGGGTGAAATTATACCACTGCAATTTTTGTTAAATGTTTAATTCATGGCCAAATGCCTTCAGTCAGTGACTTTCAACCCACAATATTCAAGCAACCTATCACCCATGAGACCCTCTGATGCTGTTTACAGCCACTGGAAGTTTTAAAACAGACTGAGGAGGAAAGCCTGTAATGTGCCCAGTGTTGCTGCCCATGGACTAACAAGGATTGTGAACCACAGCACTAGGCATCTGTACGTGCTGCACTGCAAGAGAATCGCCAGCTCTTCACAACTGACTGCCTTTTCCTGCATTCACCCCTTGCATGGGTACTACCAAAACTTTCCCATCGGTCTTCCCAGCTCGATCCTGAGGAAACCATATCCCACCACTAACAGTATGCTACGAGATGCCAAATACAAGCACTGGTAGGCAGGAAGACAAGGAACTCAAATTCTGAAGTCATGGACACTGCAGCAGAAATGTTCTATCACTCAGCTCCATCCCAATCCACTTCACCCCACGAGCCATAGTGATAAAACTCCCTTCTCACTTGCATGCTGTGGTTCTATAGAACAAGAGAAATGGTTCTCAGCTATACTGGAAAAGATAAATTAGTAATTTTATTGATCAAACCATAACTGCTTCTCAAGTTTTGCCCAGGAATCAGCTAACCCCTGTCACTATGTGCCTACCACAGTGAGGAACATTGAGGGATGCCACTGCAATAGATGGGTCTTAACCCCAAAATTGAAATTATGTCTGTCATTTTTTGGTAAGCATGCAGAACTACAGAACAACAACATTAAAGCAACATGTGTTGAATATCCTCATACCAGCTGCAACAAGATACTAACATTCCTTTTCAAAACAGAACTGTGACAGAGTTAATTACTCTGAGGATAACTTCAAGATACAGTAACTCATCAGGGTTTTTATTTCTTTTACTTTGCAAAAGCAAAATACAGTAACACCACGCACCTAGCTCAATTAACTGAGAAAATACAATTGTTTGGTAATGAAAAAGAGTTAAAGCTTTACATTCTGCAGCACAGGAAAAATATAAACTATATATTCAGGCAAGTCAGAAACTCTTACAGAAGAATCACTGTCTGAACTTTAGTCTGAGGTTATACCCATAAACTGGCCGAGTTTTGCTTTTTTCCTTTTTTTTAAAATGTAGAAACTAGTAAGTTCTTTATAGTTAAATATGTCAATAGGTAACCTGGGAAGAGTTAGAAACATATACAGGAAGACAAAGCTACTTTAAGTTGATAAACAGTACACCTAGAATACCTACACATTGCTATTCAAAATTATTGAAAGTTAATAAGTTTTAGATTTAAATGACTCACCGGCATCTTTAATCCATTCATCATACAGTAGTACAGCCTTTGATGTCAGATTGCTAAAGGCCATTTTCACTTGATTATGATTTTATGATGCTGCCTGCAGGAAAACAAACCAAAACAGAAATACGGATTTTTGTAATTAATAAAATAAAGGTCAGTAAAATGTTTTGGAAAAGATTTTCAGGAAACAGAATGGAAAAAATAAAGAGAGGGCTAACAGAGCACCACATGTGAAAAACAGACCAGGGAGCATTAGCTGACCACATTGCACTATGCTCGGGGCTAATTTATAGCTGAGCTGTTACGCACAACAATATGATTTTGTAATCTCTACATACCAAACAAGGTGCTTCTATGCCATAAAGCGTTATCTCAAGAAACCATGCCGTGGTTAACGGTTACAGTTAAGGGGAAAATATAAATAAAGAGCAGCTGCTTAAGTTCATTTTTATTACCATCACCACTGAAAGTCCAAGTCACTGATGTGTGAAGAAGTTCGGCTTTGGAACAACTACTATAGAAAATTTTAATTTTCTAACTAAGTATTTCTAAGGGAGGTGGGAAGGAGGAAAGGTGTCAATATGTCTGCATACTTCTTTTAAACACGATAATTAGCTATGTTATAATTAGTATGCAAATCACACCGATGAATCAACTGTTTCCACACCAGGATCATGAAGTGTCATAGTACCACTGGTAATACCATTAACTCACAAAAATTATCCAGCACATCCAGTTTGCATGCAGCACCACCTACACACATATGTAAAACTTTTCAAAGTTGGTTTTTTTTTTTTTTAGTATTCTTATGTGAATACTGATTTTTCCTCCAAAATCAAGTACTCGTCCACCCTTCCCTTGCCTTATTCACCCTAGAAGGTACGTTTTAAAAATTGCAACACATCTGAATGATGTCTCTCCTATTCCCACTCAGTGTCTCACTTTGCCATATGATTTCTCTCCATACCCCTGTGCAATCTTCACACTGTATTCACCTTTGTTAGTCCAGGCTGCAGCACATATTGAGAACCAGCTCCTTTCTTCTGGCCGCCTTTCTGCATCTCCTCCAGGCTAAGCTAGCTGCAGGTTTGCAGAGCCAGTTCTGCACTCATGATGGGAATGCATTTCTCTCCTCAGATCTCCCCACTATCATCTTCTCGTTTGTCCTCACCTTAACACTCCCAAAAAATAATTTCACCCTTATCTCCACTTTTACAAGTGCCTCCTGTTCACTGCCGTTTCACAAGAGTTTTTAGGCACCTCAAAGTACACTACACCCACCCTTCATCACAAGATGCAACACAGACAAGTCTGCCTTCATTAGAGTTCATCTGATCTACCTCTTCCCAATTCGCATTTTGCTACCCACTTGTTTTCCTGCTTGCACTTCTGTCCTGTGTGTCTGTAACATCTGAAATCACGACCAATTTTGTGTCCAGAAAATATTCCCTCTGTGAGGCTCTTTAAAGTTCACATTTTCCAGAAATATCATCCTCCAGCATCAGCAATTCCCAGCTCAATGTCACTGCCTTTATGCTGACCATTTTCACATTCCCTGTGTTCATATTACAATGTTTGCTGCAAAGCTCTATATTTATAAAGGTGCTGGCAAAATCAGAAGCAACAGAGGACATCCTCTTCCTTTTCTAATGGAAACTTGAATGGCCCTCTTCCTTTTGGCACTAGCAATCACAGGAGAGAAAAGATTTTATGGTTAGAGACACATTATACATATCCCTGCCGCCTTGCTCCATAAGCCAAACTATGGATGATATCAAACATACGTAAGCCAAACCCTGTCTAGAACACCAGGTACTTTAGACTGCCCAACTATGACAGCCAGGCAAGCCAGCTGTAAGTAACTGGTGCTGGGGGGAAGTGTTAAAAATCTGTATTTTATTAATGATTATTCTATTAAAATAGATTGATTACAGTAAGTTATCCTTAAAATCCAGTATTCTTCCCATTTCAGTCTCATGAGAACAGTCTATCAAGAGACAAGACATAGCAAACAGAAGGTACCTTGTTCAGCAGTTACAATGATATTCTACCAAAGCCTACAGACACCTTGTGCACAGTATGGCTCAATATTTCAGTAAATATATTCACTGAATACAAATAATGACATTATATTTAATCAGTTCTTCAATAAGAAAAATAGTTTACTGATTTCACTGCCAGTCAGTTTTCCTGCTCTCATCCTGATGAAGATGTTACTGGAACTCAGACTGGCTAGCTCAACATGCTGACCAAAACCTACGTTAAACAAGTAACCTACGGCTTCAAAACATGCTCTCAAAAGTCCAGAAAATTCTGTGTGGATGCTGGCTCGAAGCAAACTGCCATTTATTATGGGCTTGGGGGTCTTGATTGACTTTTCCTCCCTTTTACAGTGCAAACCTCTCATCCTGACAACTGCAGTCTCACAAATAGACAATTCTTTACATTTATCCACTTGACTTGTTGACACAACTTTAATTTTGCTTTAGGAGTCAGACAAATGTGCTGTCAGTGTTTAAATAGCAACTCTTATGCCTGTTAGGCATCAGGACCAAAAGCAAGCTTTTTATCTGGAATCAGACTACTTCCAATACATTGCTTCTGCTCATAGTAGAAGGGCAGCAGGCAAAAATAGCAAATCCTCTTGTTTCCCAGCCTCTGCCATACTGATGGAGAGGTATTTGTCCCACCTCTCCTGACCCCAGCACTTGCAGCTCTTCTCCCTTTAACATTCCACAAGAGCTAAGACAGCAGAGACTCTTAGCCTTCAAGATACAACTCCACAGCAGTTGCTAAACTTATTCTGAAAGTTTTTGCAGTGTAGTTACTATCTTTGAGGGAAAGATGTACCAGCCAGGGAGCAGTCACAGCCTCACCACACAGACATACTGACTGATCTATTACTCTGATTCTGAAAGTTTAATAGGTTAAAACTAATTATTTTAAGAGCAGGAGTAATGTCTGCAAGAAAGACAGTGCTGTTGAGAACTTTTCTACAGTTAAAAGATTTATTTAAAATCAACTTTCATATATAACACTACTACTTTACTTTCAATGTGTTTTACAATTCTACTTATTTTCTTAACTAGCTACCTAGTTTTCCTTTGTAAGTCCATTTCTATGAACAATTGTTTGCATTAGTGTTAGGTTTGCAGGATTTTTTGTTTGTTAACTACCTACAGGTAGGGTTAATGGCAGCATGGAAGGGATTTTGTCTTATCCTGTTACACTTACGTCACACAAAAATCATACGTACTGGAAAATAAGATGATCAAGGCTTGCTTTTTTTTATTTTTTAAAAAAAAGAAGAGTAAAAAAGCCCCACATACCCACACACAAGGTAAACAACCAGCTTGTGCTTCAGCAAAAAAACAAACCATTTTTCAAAGACTGCTTTTTTAGAGTACAACCGTGTTGTTAAGAAGTAACTTGATAACGCTTTGACCATAATACAATCTTCGATAACATTTGGCAGCTTTGAAGTCCACAGAACTTACCCTCTAAATGTGAGTCTGGAAATATTTGGCCTGAAGGGACAGAGACTTGAGGGCAGAGAAGGCCATTTGTTAAATACACAGCTTTAGTTCTTCATCCTGTAAACTCACCTGCACATGAAGCATTTGTATAGCCACAGTTCAGTCAGGAAAAATAAACATTTAGTTTACATACCTGCTAATGTACTTACAGAATAAGCACATCAGCACTTTTATTTCTAATGTTCCACTTTCTGCTTGTAGCAAAATCAAAAAATGCAACTAAAATGCACTAACAATAGGAAAATTTCTTTTTTAAATAGAGTGTCTAGATTGTAGTAGACTCTCTCAAAATTAGGCAAGTCACACTAGCAGACTCATTTTCAAAATCAGGTTACTTTAAATGACATACTGGAAGCAACTTACATAAACTTAAAATAACGCAGTCAAATATGTTGTCTGCCCAGCTTGAGTAGTTCTAAAGAACAGAGAGGCAGTCCTCTCAAGCACATGCATTTGAAAAACAAGCACTGAAACCACCTCAAAAACATATGCAAGGTACTCAGCTCTTAGAAAGAAATAAGCGCTATTTTTTCTTTTTTTCCTTTTTATTTAAAAATGTCAATGGAAGTAATATTGTGCACCTAGGTTCAACCCAGTTGTACTAATATAATTTCTGAAGACATCTTTAAACAAATGTGTCTTCACCATTATAAACATAGGGGGTGTAAGTGAGGCAGAGGAGGGTAAGGGCTGTAGTAAAAGAGCAAAGTCATTTGCTGGCCTCTGGTCCCCTGCAGCTCAGCAGACAGCTGAAAGAGCCCACTAACTGCAGCTGAGTTAAGGCATACAGCTTGGCAGAACGAATTTCAAGTTGGACCATTACCTTTACTGGAGAAGCAAGGGTAGATAAGATCATTTATACCAGCCAAAAATGCCACAAATACCACAGCAAACCATAGGAGAATGCCTCACGATGACAAGTAGTAAGTAATAAGTTGTTGGAAGTGCTCAAGTTCAGTCAGTACACAAAACTATTAGTGATTCTTGTAATGGGAATTACTGGTATGCCTCAAACATTCCTTATTTTTAAATGAGAACAACTTGTTTCTCACATTCCTTTGCTTAACCCACATGAAAGATATTTGCCATTCCTGATGCTCATTTATTCCCCCTACATAGTTTTTAAATATTAAAACAGATATCAAGATTTGTTTTTAAATAGTAATTTTACAACAAGTGTTTTATGTTGATGGCTACTGAACTAAACAAGCAAACAAAAGGACTTGACAGAAAACCAAGCAAAATGAAACCATCTAGTGTAAGCTCTGTCACTCCAGAAAACAAATTCTAAAACTCAGTGGGAACTTAAAACACTTAAAGTTAAGAATTTGCATTAGAGAGCAAAGTTAATTATTAGAAAGACAGACAAACTACTTTTACAGGGACCTCCTAGCAAAAGACTGGAGAATATGACAATACAGTACAAACTTCAATGTGATATTTTTCACCCAAGAGCAAAGGTTCTGGAGCATCAACCCCCTGGCCTAGCAAGCAGGTAATGATGGGGGGACCCTCCACCCTGCAGAGCCCA